ATGCTAACCAGATCCCTCTTGAAGTGCAGCACAGAGAACTGGACGCAGTACTCCAACTGTGGCCTGACCAATGCTGCATAGAGTGGAAGGATCACCTCCTTGGACCTGCTTGTGATGCATCTGTAGATGCACGACACAGTGCAGTTAGCTTTTCTGACGGTTTCCTGCATTGGTGGCTCATGTCCATCCTCGAGTCAACAATGACTCCAAGATCCCTTTCTGCCACTGTGTTGATGAGAAGGTGTTTTCGAGCCTATAGTTGTGTTGCTGGCTCCTTCTCCCTAGATGCATCACCTTGCACTTGTCTGCATTGAATTCCATCTTATTCTCATCCGCCCACCTCTGTAATTTGTTTACACATAGTTATATTCTGTCTCTCCCCTCCAGTGTGCCCACCTCACCCCACAACTTGGTGTCGTCAGCGAATTTGGACAGCGTGCTTCCCACACTCGCATCTAAATCGCTGATAAAGACGTTGACCAGGAGAGGCCCCAGGACCGAGCCCTGGGGGACTCCACTGCCTAAATCCCTCCAGGGTGAAAACCACCTGTCCACCATCGCTCTCTGGGAGCAACCATCTAGCCAATTTGGCACCCCTCGGACTGTGTAGGCATCAATGCCTCAGTCACCAAGGTTTTTTAAGAGAATGTGGTGGGAAACCATGAGAACTGCATGAAGGTGCCTCCCCTTGGGTCCATCCACAATTCTAGTGGGGGAGATGTCTCGGTCCCTGTTCAGGAATATGGAGACTAAGAATTCATTAAAGAGGTCAGCTTTTTTGGTTGCCGCAATCAGCAGCTTGCCAAGCCTCTCCTGTAAGGGCCCCATGTTACTGGCTGCCTTCTTCTTACCTCCTATGTATTTGAAAAAGGACTTCTTATTATTTTTAGTTCTGGTCGCTAGCCCTAGCTCCATCTCTGCGTTGGTCTTCTTAACAGCTTCCCTGCAGTCCTGAGCAATGGAGGTGTAAACTTCCTTGGTGATAGCCCCTGGCTTCTACTGTTTGTAGGCCTCCTTTATTTATTTTGACTATTCATATTCTCCTCTTCCTTCCCTTACTTTGATTTTCTAATTTTACTTTTACCTGAATGACTTTGGCAGGTTGCTCTGAAATATAGATCTTGTGAGTGAAATTTTCTTAACTCTTGCATTGCTGATTCTTCCATTAAGCGGTGATGAAGGCATGCATGCAAGCATAAATCGACCATGTATTTCTGCACCAGATCTTTCTCATGTTTTACTTATGCAGTCTAGCAGATATCTGGTAGTTTGTATTTCAGCAAGATCCCTCATCATGCACTACCCTGGACATATCTGACACTAAAGAACATTTAATCATATCTTATATCTGGTCATGTGTTAATTCAGCTAATGGCATTATAAAAAAGGCATAAGACCAGGAGAGGCCCCAGGACCGAGCCCTGGGGGACTCCACTGCCTAAATCCCTCCAGGTTGAAAACCACCCGTCCACCATCGCTCTCTGGGAGCAACCATCTAGCCAATTTGGCACCCCTCGGACTGTGTAGGCATCAATGCCTCAGTCACCAAGGTTTTTTAAGAGAATGTGGTGGGAAACCATGAGAACTGCATGAAGGTGCCTCCCCTTGGGTCCATCCGCAATTCTAGTGGGGGAGATGTCTCGGTCCCTGTTCAGGAATATGGAGACTAAGAATTCATTAAAGAGGTCAGCTTTTTTGGTTGCCGCAATCAGCAGCTTGCCAAGCCTCTCCTGTAAGGGCCCCATGTTACTGGCTGCCTTCTTCTTACCTCCTATGTATTTGAAAAAGGACTTTTTATTATTCTTAGTTTGGTCGCTAGCCCTAGCTCCATCTCTGCCTTGGTCTTCTTAACAGCTTCCCTGCAGTCCTGAGCAATGGAGATGTAAACCTCCTTGGTGATAGCCCCTGGCTTCTACTGTTTGTAGGCCTCCTTTATTTATTTTGACTATTCATATTCTCCTCTTCCTTCCCTTACTTTGATTTTCTAATTTTACTTTTACCTGAATGACTTTGGCAGGTTGCTCTGAAATATAGATCTTGTGAGTGAAATTTTCTTAACTCTTGCGTTGCTGATTCTTCCATTAAGCAGTGATGAAGGCATGCATACAAGCATAAATCGACCATGTATTTCTGCACCAGATCTTACTCATGTTTTACTTATGCAGTCTAGCAGATATCTGGTAGTTTGTATTTCAGCAAGATTCCTCATCATGCACTACCCTGGACATATCTGACACTAAAGAACATTTAATCATATCTTATATCTGGTCATGTGTTAATTCATCTAATGGCATTGTAAAAAGGCATAAACTACAAAGTTAGACAGAAAATGTATAATAACTTTGTGGTTGGTTCCTATCACACCATTAATTATTCAATGATCAGTGGAATTGAGTGTGGCCAGGCTGATGGGGGCTCCCAGGCACAAGATGTATCCCTGTGCCAGGAGCCCCATCAGCTAATGGGGCTCTCACCAATGGGGTGGTTGTCAAGTTTGTGCAGTAGGCTACTTGATGTACAGTTGTTGCAGATGAAGATCTTCTGAACAGCTTTGATCATGCAAGCTGGATGCTTAATTTTTTTACTTTGTATTTTACATCAAAGAAGGAAAAGTGCAGGTGTTCATAGGCACTCTGTCTCTAAATAGACCTATGCCCTCCATACAGGCAAAAACAGAGGTGATGTCACCACAGGCTTTAATCTCAATCTGCCCTTGTAATTCAACGGAAGATAAAGTTGGCCCCATTCGTTTCCTCCTCCTGCATGGTCACCAGAATTGTGTACTGAATTTCAGTCTGCTTCCTATGGCAAATCTACTAAAAGCAAAGGGGTTGCATGTTGGTCAGTTAATATGTCACTTAATGTTTGAATTTCATTATCAGTGATAATATATATAATGAAAACAAAAAAGTCTGAGTACTAATTGCAAAAGTTACTTTGAAATTCCAAAAATACTTGGAAGAAGTATGTTTCCCTGCCTAGGTTGGGTAGAGCAGAGCTGGAGATCGTTGATCCTTGCATGTTATACCGCTGGCAAGCATGGAGAGGTGCTGACAGTTATCAACCGAATGATAAGGGAGAATAGAAGGCATAAATGACTGGTTTGGTGGTACCTGAACCAAGGAGTTTGAAAGCCCCCATCTGGAGAAAAAAGGATTACAGGATTACAAGATAGCCGAATGCCCTGTCCCCCTAAACCCCAGTTACTGAAAGTAGTTGTCATAGATTTAAGTAACAAGAGCCTCATAGATTGGATGAGACTGGCCATAGTATGAGTAAGCATGTCTGTAACATGGTCCCAAATGAGGCAGCATAACATCCTGTTTTTCTTAACATGGTATGCATGCGGAAAGCACCCAGGAAAGAGCCAGACCTAGAGAATGTCAGTGCTGGAAGGAAGGCTATACTGATACATTACTGTGTATAGGAATCTGTCCTTTGCCATATTAGTGTGTAGACCTCATTTCCATGTTGTTCTCTATTGCACTGACAGGTGTTACCACCACCTTTCCACCATGGATTGCTACAACAGGTAAATCTCAGGAGCTTTTCTAATATTTACTATCATACATGACCTAAGGAGAGAGAGAGTTAGTTCTGTTATGTAACTGCATATGATGGAGTATACAGAAGAATCCTTATCAATTGTGACTTAAGGACAGGACGTAAACTCTAATACTGCAAGGACTCAGGATTCAGTACACAACTGGGGTAATTACATACCCTCGGACGATATCCTTTGTGTCGGTTTTTTTAGAAAAAGAATTATTGAGTCCATATGGGTCAAGAGTGTTGAAATGAGTGCAATTTAAACAGTCCTGTGCTAAATCAGAGGCCCTGGGAAAAGTCAGTGGCCTGAGAATATTCATGCCACATTGATGGTTACATTGATATACTATCAAAACAGGAGTTTGTATCAGGCAGGTCTGCTTTGCTGGCTGATGTATGCAGAGTACAGCCATTTTTTGCTTTCCCTTAATGGATTCAGTGTTGAGCACCAAGGTACGTTCCTCTAAAATAAAACTGAATGTTGCTCTCTTCTCTTTTATCAGGTCGTCATACTACAGGCACTTCTGACCCATGGGCACCTACCACAGGTAATTCTCAGTAGTTTTGCTTACATTAGTTATATTTATAATCTATAGTCTTCACTGATTGCTCACAAAAAGACTTTACTACAACTGCCAAGCCTTAATGTGTCAGGTTTGGGATATGGTTGTAGAAACAATGAGAATTTATAATTCTGGGGCCCGCGGTGTCTCACCAGGAAGGTATACCCCGTTGGATATCCTAGGGCACTTCAGATGTGTTTAAGAGAAAGTGATAATACCAGGGGTAAGAAGATGCCAACATGTAAGTGACTGTGAGGGCTTGTGATAAGATTAAATATTGCTTTCTGTGCTTTTGAAGGAATAACCATCCGACTGGTGAATGGAAGGAACAGTTGCGAGGGCCGTGTAGAAATCAGTTACAATGGAGCCTGGGGGACGGTTTGTGATGATTCCTGGGATTTCAGCGATGCTGAGGTTGTGTGCAGGCAGCTTGGATGTGGCTCCGCCATTTCATCCCCGCAAAGTGCCTACTTTGGTCAAGGCTCTGGGTATATTCACCTGGATGATGTGCAGTGCAGAGGAAATGAGTGCTATCTCTGGCAATGCCCTCACCAGGGCTGGGGAAGCCATAACTGTGGACATAGTGAAGATGCTGGTGTCATCTGTTCAGGTAACCTCTGTTTTTTATTTTAGAATATTCCTATATTCCTATTTTTATTTTAGAATCTTTTCCTATGTTCTCCTTTATGAGTTAGCATTCTAGCTCCTGAGAGCACTTTTCATTCACTCCCAGTTAAGATTTATGCCAAAAATAGGCTTTGCCATGTTTGTGTAGCAGTATCGTTTTGTGTGCTGCTCTTGCTGAAGGAGAAGAGTTGTTGAGAGTAGGTGGAGATTTTCACTTTCCATGTGTTGTATCACAACAGGGAAGTGAGTGTGTAACTGATGGTGGAAACCTTGTCATTGAGATACACTTCCTCTCTGCCAATCAAGATCCGAACTTCTGCCTTCCCTGTCTTCACTTCAAGTTAAATTAGGGTGTCAGCACAGCTGACATTGATCTTAATTGTCTCACTTTTTTTTTTGTACACTACACCAGATTGATTTTCTGATTCCTTTTTCACCTTAATGACACTATCTCCATAATACAGTTGTTTCTCACTTGCATTTTGTTCTGTCTTCCTTTAATAGGTGCTTATGCAACCAGCACAACCACGAGGCCAACATGGGCTACGTCAAGAGGTAATTCCAATTGTTTTCTCCCCTTTTTGCAATCTAATTAGCTGTATCCTCCTGTGTTTCCACAGTAGTGTGGACCAACAAGCCATTCCAAGCACTGCAAATGTTAATGATACCTGAGTGCTAGGCCTGGGAAGTAGAAGGGGGCAAGTCAATGCTTTTGGAAACAGCAGAAGGGTATGTCCAGCTCCAATCATAGCAGTCTTTCAGTCTCAGAGCTGGATTATGTTATTGTAGAATTATGAAGAAATATATATGGTCTGTTGAGGAAGCTAGCTTTGCTCTGAGGCTGTGAGTCTACATCCAGAATCTGCTTTAGGCTGTTTTAATGGTTTCCAACTGTAGATAAACTTAGTTTTTCTTTAGTATCATAGTACTCCAGGGTCAGAAGGGACCTAAACAGTTCATCAGGTCTGGCCCTCTGTCCCGGGCACGAATATATATCTTGTCAGTGAAATTTTCTTGATTTCCGCATTGCTGATTCTTGCTTTAAGCGGTGATGAAGGCATGCATGCAAGCATAAATTGAGCATGTATTTCTGCACCAGATATTTCTCATGTTTTAGTTATGCATTCTAGCAGATATTTGGTAGTTTGTATTTCAGCAG